TGGTGCTAACGCACGCACACATCCACAGGCGTGCATACTTCAACAACTGCTTGCACAGCTCCTGTCACACATGGCCCTCCATCCCTCCACCATCCTTTTTCCGCCCCATCCCTCTCCTCTTCTTCTTCCTCCAGACGTACGCCCAATCCTTCTTGGTGGAGGCCATATGGCCGACTGAAGCCTGTGGATCTACAGGCACATCTGCGTATATGTTGCTAGTCTCCTCATAAAACCAAACCTCCACGGCACATACTCACATCCGCTCTGGCAAACACACTCTGCTGCCGCTACGACTGCTTAAATAACTGCTAGTGCGATGCTGGTCTGTTATATGTGCGTGTGACCTAAGTGTGTACGTGCGTAGTGATAATTGGTGAAACAGGCTGCGAACAGCTGTGAGGTGAGGAAAGGTTGCGAGGTGTTTAGTGCAGAAGGACGAGAGGAGGAGAGGAAGGTTCAAGTGAAGGAGAGGGGGAAGAAGGATGAGAAAAAGATGAGCGCCATCACAGCTAAGAGAAGGTTAAAGAAAAGTCTTTACGTCAAGATCGACCTGAAACGGATACGATGGCGGCTGGAAGCGAATCTGTTTCCATCCAATAGAAGATGTGGCTTTAAGATTCACTCCAACCACCCACCTTTTTTTACCCTACTCAATATTATAGAGTTATTTTAATAGTATCTTTGATGTAAATATACCTAAATAATACAGTTTCAAAACTGAAATGCAAATTTAACTAGTTACATGATTCTGAAAAACAGACAAAGAAAAATATGCCTCTTTTCATTATTAAAAGTCTCGTTAACTTCAGCGTTGAAATCCAAAACACTAAGATATATAGAAGCATTTCATAGATCTGTGTTTCACGTATGAGCCGTGTGATTGGCCAGTTGGATGGACCTGATGTGTTTTTAAAGGTGGAGAAAATCATTTTAGGCAAAAACTGGGTCAATCTGATCTAAATTGAATATTTCCAAACATATCCAATTCATGTTTAAAGGCATGCTCTGATCAGACACGCCCAACTTTCTTTGACCTGCTGATAATTACGGGTTCTTCTTTAGAGTCAGTAGTTTCAGATCCAAAAGAATAATAAGGATATTTCCCTCAGTTTTTTCAGTCCTAAAACCTTTATGTGGATTAAATAAAGTCATTAAATTCCTTGAAAGTTATGAGTTTTGATCCATTTGGTCAGAAAAAAAAAATTCCCTTCTTTATCTGTGTCCTTTACTGGATAAATATAAAATTATAATAAGCAACAAAAACATCAGTGGAAGAAAAAAAAAACTTCCCTTCTGTTCTTGTACAAAATAAATCTTTAAAATAATACGTCTAAATTTACACCATTAATCTCCAGAAGTGAAAGTTAATCATTTCCAGCGTCTGTCTCTGCATCTTCTCTACCTCTCTGGTGTCCCGCTCCAACTCTCCTCCCTCTCCCTCTTTCCAATTTCAATACAAAAAAACAAAAACAAGCAACGACACAGAAATAGTGAAATAAATAATTAACTGGCGCAGCAAAAACACTGTGTGCTAAAACCCCTGTGTAGTTTGGCAATCGGCTTGCTCATGTAAAAATAAATCAAGCTGATTTTCCAAATGTTTTGTGCGTGGTGCGCTGTTGCCGCTCTTCGCAGCACAGATTGCAGGCCGATGGAGAGGCTGTAGGGAGGGGCGGGGCGCTGGATATTGAACCCACTTACACCAGCTTGTTAACACATACACCTTATCCCCCCCCCAAACGGCGCAGTGGGGTGTCCGTGGAGCAATCAGGGCCTGCAGGGACCAACAAACAAAACCCAATGTATAGACTAACAGGAGGACTGAGAGTCTGTCTTTCTATTCAGATGAATAGAGGAACTTAATAAATGTTGGCTTATAATATGCAAACAAACTGATAAGGAATCAGAATGTTTCAAGGTTACATACTTCTATAAAGCTTTGACACACAATACAAAACTATATTTCGTGTTTATTCGACTGCAAACCAAATATCTGAGGGATTTAAAGCCTCAGAAGTCCCACCTGCAAATAAAAGGAACAATAAAACTTAAGTAATGCTGCTTTACTTCATCTCTCTGCTTTCTTACAGCAAAACAACAAAATCAAACACAAACTACATGCATTTCCTGCTTAAGCCAAACAAATAAAAAAAATAATAAAAAAAGAAAACCACACATCTTAGGATGCAGAAACATGGTCAAACGGATCGACACTCGCTCCACAACTGACCTCCGCTAGAGATGAAAACCCTGGAGAGTTTCAACTATCAGGAGGATTCATCAACAAACTGAGTGTCAAAGCAGAAAATAAAACTTCAGAAATGCCAAGAGTGATTATCGTGGTTCAGTTGGGAGAAGAGAGAAGTTAGGCGCCAACTTCCAAGCCAATCCACTTTTGGCAGCCAGAATCCAACTCTGCTTAGCCTCCTGAGAGCGTGCAATATCTACTACCCATATGCACATGAACGGGCACGCAGACTCACACGCGCATGAGGGAAAAAAAAAGAGAAATACCACCACAGCATATGCAAGGAAACACAGAACATTCAAGGCTCGGCAATGCGTGACAACTTAAAATGTTTTTTTTCTTTTGCACAAAAACGGGAGACATTACCAGGAGACAGCTGTGACTTGGTAAACTTTGCTTTTTTTTGGCAGCGCCCCGACTGTCGGCAGGTTAACACCGGTGGGTGGAAGACAATATGTGGCGTCAATGATGGAGTGGAAGAGAAGGGTGAAAGTGTGTGTGTGTGTTGGTGCAATGTGGAAGTGATGGCGGGGCGGGCACTGGGGTAGAGATCCTGCAGAGTGGGGCAACAACACCCACACAGCCTCGCCCACACTGGCAGAGCCAGGCGGCATGCCAGGCGCCCCGTGGAGACACGCACCAACTGGGCTCCGTACTCAGGAGGGAGAGACCCCCGCACATGACATCCACACAACTTTTATCTGCAACTTTTCAAAGTTAGTAAACCAGCTAATAGTACAACTCAACAAGGTTACTCTGGAAATAATAATGTGGTCATGTAAACAGGAAAGGGAAACCATGCTGAGGATCCATGTTTCTTTCTAATTAGATTTCACAGTTGTTCACAGTGTTTTTATAAGTTCACCGAATTTATTAAAGGGGAGTCTTTCTCTACATTCATACAAACAGAAAAGAAAACTTTCTGGTTTCTTATGTCTGTATAAAATGACTTGGATTTTTTATACAGATTTTTTACTTTTTTTTTCTTTGATCCCTAAAAATACTCCCTAGGTCCCATCGGCGTGCTTCCTAAATCAACAATTTTCACATTTTTAGAACATTTGTTCTCCCATTTCTAAATTTCACAGCAAAAGATAAATGTTCAAGGTACAGTGGAGGATGTTCTTTTTCCGAGTGGATCATCAAAATAAGTGGTCCTCCTAATTGTCAATCATTCCGGTGATATGTGAATGGTCTGTTATATGTGCGTGTGACCTCGCACACATGGGCATCGTGTGTGCGAGGCTTTCTCTCTCGGGAGCAGGTACCGAATTGTGCATTTTGTTTTTAAAAGTGGAGGTGGCGTGTCTTTTGAAAGATTTGCGAAAGTCCTCCACTGTACCTTTAAATATTTAAAGATAAAAAATCAAATCATGGACTGAAACGTCAAATAAAGCTAAATAAAATACAGGCAATATTTTTGCTCCGTTCGGTTCAGACTTAGAAACTAACCTTCAGAAGAAACATTTTGCAGCAACCAGAGGAGCATTTTATTAAACTCACAGAGTAAAGCCAGACTTGGATGCTGAATTCTGACTCAACTTAGGCTCATTATGCCTTGTTTATTTAATATCACTAATGCAAGACCGCTTCAATTAATCATTGCTGCCGAGCATATAAGCAGCCGGTGCAGAAGATCATGGAGTTCATGGGGTGACAATGGAGGAAGAGGAATATATGTCGGGTTTCATTGATAGGGAAGTTCAGCTGTTTAATTGGAAATTAAAAGGGAAATACTGTAACCAATGGCAGGCCATTGCTCATAGATTAAATGCCTGAACGGTCACCTTTTCAATCACACACATTATCCAAATTATATATAATTAAACTGTCAATTTTGATAGCATTCTAAATAAATGTTAGCCTATAGTCTTTTGACAATACAAAACAATTTTAGTGAAAATGTTGTAAAATACTTCTCCCCCATTTGAAGTTTTGGTCCGTAGCTTTTAGTCGTAGTTTAGGTCCCATGAACTGCTTTTGATTAAGATTTAGTCAGACTCTAATCAGCAAGAATCCTGCTGTTACTAAAGAAAATGACAAAAATCACCATCCAAGAATCTAAAACCCCTTTTCCATATTTAACTTTCAGTAGTAAGACCAGCAGTAAGAGACGCACCTGACAAAAGGTGAAAACTCTCCTGAATCCTGATTCAAAATGTCAGCTCTGACTAATCACACTGTCTTTATTACAACAAAAAGATTCAGACACTTGAAATCCAGGCCGGATTTTCACAATCAAATACAAATGAAGAAACTTTAAAAGAGAAAGGTGACACAAGATCAAGTTTATATATCTCTTACACACACCAGTGTGAGCAGGCCTTTATGGACGAGGGCAACAGTCTTTTCACCAAGTGAAAATTTTATATAAATTTTTACACACGTGTATATATGTGCTTTAGATAAGAAGATAATTGTGTGATATTTCATTGCATGAAATCAATTTGGTGAAATTAAGCTTATGACTAGTTGCTATGTATTTGGGCCAAACAATGTCACCAATACCCTTTCTGTCACTTACAGCGCCCCCTGCTGCTGGATTCAACAAAGACATATTGTGTGAACTAATAGACTCTAAAACTTGTACCAAGCCAGACTATGAACGAGTCCATTTTATGAACAAAGATGACTACAAAATAATCCAGACGTGAACATCTAAGGCTTGCTAACAAACTGAGCCCTCAGGTCCAAGGAAAACTCCATCGGTGTGGGTAACAGAGAGAGAGCTTTCAGCGTAAAAGTGGCACACCTGTTCTTCATGCGTTGGTGCATGCGTCCATGCTGGACGCACTGCTCCTCCATTTCTGAGCAGCGAGCTCTCAGACTCTTCACCGTCTCCTCCAAGTGCTGCTTCTCCAAGGCCAGCTGTTCCAGCTCACTCCTGTGCACAGAAAGCAAGAAATGAAAAGAGTGAAAAACATAAAACATACCTCAGTCTGTTAGGATAGCAACATAAAGAGGCACTAAAAATGACCAAAAAAGATCAGAGGTAAAAAAAAAAAATAAAACATTCAGGTCAAAATATCCTTTTAACCTATTTTTTTATACCAGTTTAAAGTAGCGTTAATTGACTAAATATTCTAACAGCGTCAGTCTTTAAAACTGAACCTTAGACAGAAAAAAAGGATAAAACTGTGAGATAGGCAACAAAGCTGTTTATATTTTACTTCCTGGAAAATGTTGATACATTTTTGACTCTTCCAACTATGTAGAAACATTGAGACTCAAATAAAACACTTGTGTGAGAAAGAGAGTGATTGATTATCTAACCCAATGTGTTTGCTCACATTGATAGGTCAATAATGTATCCAGATTCACTGTAAAACTGACCAATTAGTAATGTAAAAATAGAAATCATAAGCAGCGCATAAAGCAAAAGAAAAAACAAGAGGCAGAAACTGATTCTTCTTTGAACCCTTTAAAATCTGTCTCCCCCACCGAAGGTGAACAGGCAGCCTGAAGTCTGACTAACACATTAGCAAGACTAACTGCATCAGTTTATTAGCTCATCTTGCTACAGCTGCCTTGTTGCTACCAAACTTCAGCAGTCCAGCAGGACTTTAACCGCTAGAGCGGCTCTGAACCCCATGGGTGCGAACAGCCTGCAGCCTCAAACACCACACCGCAGCCCCACGCTCATACAGCAGAGTGAACGCCATGAGGGCGGTCTGCAAGGCTCTGCATCCTTTAACACAGAAACATTAGCTTAAAAATACAGAATAGAAGGAGTACTACAGGAAAGGACTCTGTGTACTTTGGGCTGTGTGTGCATTCTGTGCTCGGTGAGGCCGCCGCGGTCTGTCTCGGCCAGATTGAGGGCTGTCATGTGACTAATGTGCAGCACAGCTCCAACAGCTGACAGGACTCTGGGCCCAGGGTCAGGCCCGTACATAGACACACACACATGTACATGCTGAAGTACGCGAACGTGCACACGCACGCACGCACGCACAAGGAGCCCAGATGGAGAGCTGGGCCGGCCTGCTGTGACTATTGTAGCATCAGGTTAACGAGAAAACAGGTCAGACTGCAGAGCAGTTTGTGGTTGTTGTTTTTTTTTTTTTTTCCAACATGTTCTGCCCAACAGCCTGGACGGATGATGATTTTGTGAAACGATGACACGGACGTCAAACAGACAGGGGATAAAGCACAAAGTGAGAGAACAAACAACTGTTCCCCTGACACAGAAAACAAAAAGTTATTTCACTGAGTCAGCAGGAGAGGTGATGAGGGAAACAAAACTATCATTAAGGGAATGGATGTTTAGGAAGAAACACTGACCTGCTGTGATGAGAAAACTCTTCCAGTTTGGCCCCAAGTTTGCAGCATTCCTCTTTGAGCTTCCTGATTAGGGAATTCTGGGAACCCATGAGATTCTCCATCTCTCCAACTGAAAAAGATAAAGTTACTCTATTACTGTATTTATCCTCTTAAAGACACATTACATACAAACTGGTAGATACTGTTTCGAAACAAACACTGTGATTTTCGCTGATTTTCAGTCTGAAAGGCCCGTACTGATGAAAAACAAGAAAAAACTATGATTTTTCTCTGATGTCTGATCGTAATCCATCATCAGAAGATGTACAAGATCACAATAATACTAAAAAAGTCTGAAAGAAAGGGAACAGATGCTACCTTTATACAGCCTGTCAATGTCTGCTCTTCACTCAGGTTAGAGAGCGAGACTTAAAGAAGGTAACGGGAAGGCTGAATGGAGTATGAAAAAGTAGCTTTTTTTTATCTCACTGATATTTCAACCTGAAAAGTTGAAAGCCTTGCAAGCGAATGTCTACTGCTGAAACATGCTCGTCTAGGAGGAGGCAAATCCGGCACCTTGGACAATCAAACAGGTTTCCTTAGATAGAAAGCCTTCAACCAGTCAGTCTCTATGATTGGATTGAACTGTTTCTGTAAAGTGCCTTAATATAACAATATGTTGTGCTTTAGGAGTATATAAATAAACTGAATTGAACTGAAGGCTTTAGGAAAACTCACGTCAAAGGGTCAGAATTCATGGGAAGTTCACTTAAACACAGCTGTTCTTTCAGTGCTGGCTCTAATTGCTAGCATACAGAATAAAAATACATACAATACATGCAAAAAAAAACAACAGATATCAGAACAGGCTGTAATATGTCAAATGTTGCATCTGCAGTAGAATTGCAAAATATATATCCAACTTACTCTGTACAGATCAAGTAGAAATGGGTAAAGAAAACAGAATAGAAACAGTGTTAATATACAGAAATAATACTTTAGGAAAATGGCAAGGAGGGGTTGCAGGGTTGGGTGGCCACAGCTAGCTGTTCCTTAGGTGGCAAAGCGTAGAGTAGGGCTGAAAAATGTTTCATGATTGAAGCCTTTTAAAATCTGTCAATATCGATATTTCCACTCGGTTTGGATATTGGCTCCAATATCAACTAATTGGGTAGATAAAATATTGCATGGATGTAACAGACCCAATATTATGACTTTTTTATTTTCATTAATATCATACGCAGCAATAAAAACAGTGATTAAACAGTGATTTAATGACTTAAATTTTATGATTTCAACACTGATTACCTCATCACGCAGAGCACACACAGCAGCTAGTGTTCTAACAATGTTTATGTTAAGCTCAACGGCTTCAGTCACATGGTCAGTTATACAGTGAATTTGATATCGGCTAAAGGGAAGATAGAGTTGTAGCCAGCGCACAGATACATCCATGCGAGTAGAAGTTAGCACTTTTTAATGCAACAACAACAACAGTAAAATCCTGCAACAATGGACTCTGGACAAGCAAACTTTCAAGCTCATAAAAACAACCAAACATCTACAGGCTTTTAGTTAGCATAGAGGCAATCTAAATAAAATCACAATATTTTTCGAAAAAAATTGTCATTTGGATTTTGGACAAGAGCCAGGTTTGCTCTTAAAATCTTATCATAATATTCGAGATACTATAGTGTTAAAACGATACAGTTGAGGATAAAGACACTCTTCATTAATTTTTTTAAGTCGCTTTTAGGTAATTACATAGCTGCAACTGCATGAGACCTTAATCGGAGCCCAACAATCACAAACACTACTCTTGAAAATCTAAACCCATTTAAAATAAGCTCCTTCAGGACTCCAGTTACATGAAGAATTGTAAATTATATCAATCAAAAACACATACTTAATCAAATTCTACAAATTTAAGAATGAAAAAAACATCAAAGAAGGAAAACATTAATAAAATTCACATTTAGATTTTTTTTTTCATCAATTACGGTAATTAAAATTCTATTGTTTAGATGGTACATCAAATGTATGTACCATCTAGTTATGACTAGACATTTATCATGATAACAATAAGTGACAGGAAGAATGCCCACCTCTATTTTTGACTAAATATTTGAGTCCTGCTTTTGATCCTCTCCTCTGCCTTCATCCTTCAGAACATGGGCCTGTTCTGGATCAGTGTTCAGGGAAATTATACAGAACATTTGATGGGACCTATTTCCTATTCATATTGGTCAGGTAGCTGTTATAATATTGATCATGATTGCTTCATTGCCCGAGTATCTAACATGTTTTCTCACTGGCATTAAAGAGAAGCTCGTTGGTTCCTTAAGAGTAAATGATGTGATGATAATGTTCATGATGACTATTATTATAGAGTTAAAAGGCTCTGCCCGCTCAGATTGGAGGTAAATCAGTAACAAACCAAAACATTAAAATTCAGTCAATGTGAAGTTGTGTAAAATATATAGTTTTCTGTGTAAAATTTGTTCATTTGTTTGATTCTTTGCATTCAGATAGAATGTAACTTGGAAGAAAAACATAACAGTAGGATCAGAGGACAACCATTACCTTATGGCCATAGCAAAGCCATATGAAAACAACTGTGAAAAACTGCAGCAAAAGAAAGATACATATGTCTCTTTTAAAGGATATCCAAAACTGCACTTGTCAACAGTCTCATTAACATCAAAACTGCTCAAACAACAGGAGCCGGTGAACAGAGAGAACCAGCCGTACACTGAAGTAAGAGAGGGAATCTAAAGTGTGCAAAAAAAAAAGGGGGGGTAAAAGGAGCGAGATTTTCTGTTTGAAAGTGCTCTCTTTCTCCTTTTTTTCCTGCAGCCTTCCTGCCACGTCCTCATCCACACACGGGGGCCTCTTTCTGAACAATCCAACACCGGGCTTTTATCGCTCCTTTGAAAATGGTCTACGTTTCACTCTCCAACATATGTCTGCTCTTTAAAAGAAGTGGGGGGAAGAAAAAAAAACAAACAGAAAAAAAACAATGGCTGCCGTTTGGATTGTGGGACTGATCCACCTGCTCCAGCATTCTGTTACATTCAAACAAAAAGACTTTGAACAAGTCAATCACATATTTGTTTTCTGCATGCATTAACAATTCAAGCCAAAAAGCAGATTGTTGGTCTCAGCACTGTCTTGCAATGCATTGTTAAAATCTGATCCTTTACTTTAAACATTTTTTTAAAAGTTTCCCAAAAACTACGCCTCGATAGGGAGAATTCAGACTTTTTGTTTGTGCATTATCTGTTGTAATCTGTGTGGGCTACTGCAGAAATAGGATGCACCGGACCATAAAACTATAAAACCACAATATTTTGCGGCCGTGCATTCAAGCATATGCTTAACAAAGTTTTGGTCAGGGCTGCAAAAGTTGTATGAAGAATGCTAATTAACTGAGCGGGCTTTGAATATGTCTTGCCATGTGTAGGCCAAAAAGAACCCTGGGACACAGAGACACAGCAGAACTGGCACTGGAAACAAACAGAGGAAAAATGAGGGAGGGAGCGAAGGAGGGAGGGATGGAGGGACAAATATCTGATATCATCTAGGGGTTGGTCTGTACACATTTACTCAAAAACAGAAACATGAAAAAAAAAGAGGAGGAAAAAAAAGGTGGGAGGGGAGCAGAGAGGATGGAAGAGAGGGGACGGATGGATATATGGACAAACGGATGGACAAAGAGGCGGGATTTGGAGAGCAGGAAAGCTAATTATCCAGCTCGTCTGTTGGGCTGCATGGGGATAGGAAGTGATGCGAGCTACTAAAGGACATCCACCCCTCTATCCCCTCCCCATCCACAGTTTCCTGCTGTGCTCTGATGTCAGCTCTCTTTAGACAACATGTGTGCCGCCGACACGCGCCAGAAAGTAACGCTTTGTTTACCCCCCACCACCACCACCGCCGCCATCCATTCTTCCCTCTATAGCCTCCATCTTTGTTCTGTGTACCAGCAGGCTCCCTGGTTTTTGAAGAGAACCACAGGTAAATAAAAAGATAAGATAGACGAGGGAGGGAGGGTGTTAGAGGGTGGGGGGGATCCAGATGGCACAACAGATGTGGTAACAGCAGCAGCTCTGCTGTGCAGACAGACAGAGAACTCCGAGCAGGGTCCCACTCTGCTCCCATCACCTTCTCTCATCATCCTCACTTGTCTGCTCTTTATTATCTTCTTAAATACTCTCTTCTGTCCTTTTCTTCTTAAGGTCACTTTAGCTCAGCTGAGATTTATTCCAGTACATGTAATAGTGGGGATCCTTCTATTGAAAAACATAAAAACCCCGTTCCAGCAAAGATCCACCCCACAGAGAGATCCTTCCGGAGGAGATAGAAGCCATGAATCTGTAGAGAGGCCGACTCAAGGTCTCCATTAGTCACGTTACTTTTTTTTTTCTGGTCCAGCTAAAGCACAACAGGAACCAGCTCCAACTGTACGACAATGTTCTCATTTGATCTGAAAAAACACGTCAAAGCGTTGGACTCAAAGGGTGCTGCCTGTACAGACAACATAAGTTAACTTGATGAATAGATTAAAACAAGAGTTATGCAAACTAAAGGCAGGCTAAAAGTCCTGATTAAAAAAGAGGAGATAGTATAAACAAAAAGATAACATAAAATCTGTTTAGTAAAGATGTATTGAACATATGCACAAGCAACTGCTTTGATTTCTCTAATATTCAGGAAAAAAACATGAATTATATTTAACACTGAGTTGTAGCTGTAGTACAAAGATAATTTAAAAATAAAAACATAAAGCACCAGAAAGAGCTGTTACTGAACAGTTAGTTAGATGAAGGACCTCTTCAAACGTTCTCTTCCTTCCAGCTTAGAAAGCAGCCCAGATAGATCCTCCATGCACAGAACCTGAACAGCACGTAGGACCCATCTGGTTTCCACGCCTTGGGACACCTTCATCTTCCTTTTTTAAAAGTCAGTCCCCAGCTCCTTTAGTTTTTAGAGCTGATGTCCAAGTGGACAATATTTGGACTTCAGAGCACATTTGGCAGAGACAGTTGTCTGGGTTCTAAGTAAAGTTTGATATGTGGAGTTTAAGGAGGAGGGGGGGCGACGTTGCTGTACCCATGGGGCGCTGTAACATGACTTCAAATGTATATAAGCTAGAAAAGCGAATAAAGGGGTGATGAGAGTGACAATAAAATAGGAAAGAATCACCAAAATAACAAACAATTATAAAAGTTAAATGCAGCCATACTGCCTTGTTTTAAAACGCCCATCACCAAATTTAGGTAGAGACGAGAAAACAAAAATAAGATTCACTTACTTGCTTTAAGTGAGCCATACGTTCGTGTTTTGTTGCTTTTAAACCTCAGTATGAGTTGTTTTAAATACAGGAATACAGTGCAGTGACGGCTCCATGATAACGAGGGCATAATCTGCTGCACTGCTACTTTGGTTGAGCTGATCAACAGTCATCAACACCACAGCAGAACGCTCTGAAGGGACGGATCCTTCAAGCTATGGGAAACTGCTCAGATCTGATCAATTATGGAGACAAACTCTGCTTTATTGGATGCTTGGGAATGGCATTTCAAATACTTTTATGTTTGCTTAAATAAATGATGATCAAACAAATTTCAAAGCAAAGAAAAAACCTGAATAAATAAAGAAATCCGTTTCCAAATAATTATTTTATTTTGTAAAATAAAAAGCATTCGACTAGAAGAGCACCCCTCTTATATTTTCTATAAAACATCCTGATGTTTTTATGGGCTGATGAGACTAGGTCTGCAACTATTATTTTGATAATTTTTTCAATTAATTGATTTTTAATCAGATAGCGAAAAGTTCCTTAAAGAAGATTTTATAGAGAATTAAACCACATGCAACTAAAACTTTTCAACTTTTAAGTTCTGGATAGAGCATATTGAAAGGATAAAAATGTATTTCTTTTTCAAATGAAATACATATATATATTTGTATTTTGTCTGTCATCTAAAGGCATGTTTTACAGTCTCTTTACTCCAGTTAACGATTAATCAATTAATGAATCAGTTAATGATTTATTCAATAATCGATTAATCATAATTAATTCGATTAATTGTTTCAGCCCTAGATGAGATGATTCAGAAATAGATCAAACAAACAGTAAAACATGGTGGCGGAGGTGTGATGTACTGGCATTACTACGCTGCACCAAGATTTCTGCTGTAATTGATGAAAACTTTGAATTCTATTTATTTTCTAGAACAACGGTCCATCAGCAGGTGAAAGTTGAAATCCTCCGGTTATACAGCATATCAGATCTACCTCTGAGCAAGTTTTTAAAACAAAAGATAAACTGTGGGCTTTGGAGTGGCCTAGTCAAAGTTCAGATTTACATCTAATCGAGATGCAGAAGCATAACCCTAAACAGGCTGCTTATCCTGAAAACTCGGGGCCAGCATTTAACCTATCATTTATTGTATTTGTGAAATGTTTCTAGTCATCATAAGAGTTTAGATTTATTTTAAAAACAATCGATTTGAATCAATGATGATTAAAAACTCTAGACACTAAGTGAATAGTAAGGATTTTTATTTTGACTGTTTTTCTTCTTTTTTGTTTCTATTTTTTCCGATTGGGGCATTTATTAATTTGAAGAATATGATTAAATGCACTTACTAGGATATGTTTAGTGATCTAAATCGTATTTATTATGTAAGCAATGACAAAACTAAAGTTACCCAAGAAAGACGGCAAAGGAATAATGTTTTTTTTCACAATAATATTGCACAATATCATAACATTTTAAAGTATATATTGCCCAGCCATACAGAAAACTTTCATATGTAGCTGAATTAAACTATTCTGTCAACCTTCACACAAAGGGCTGGAAAACATCCTCATCCAGCGATGGCTTAGTGGCAACCGTTGCCTCGGTGATGGCACAGGTCATTATCAGCCATAGGGCACTGTGACTTTAAACTTATTTATTTTAAACCAGCTACTAAATTCATGTTTTTTATACTTTGGTAAATCCTTAAAACCTCTACTTATAATTGGGGAAAACCACAATGGATGTTTTATTTTTTAAGTCTCCACTACGGATGCACATCTGTGCTTTCATTGTAGTGTCTTTTCATCTGCCTTTTGAGCTAATGTCTCAGCCAAATTTCATTATTGCTTAAATACAACCATAAACACTCTTTATTCTCGTCTCTAGATGAGCAAATTTGGGGGTAATTTCCCCCTTTGTATTAAAGTGTGGCTGTTGCATTGGTGCTCATCCTCTCCTCATAGGGTTTAAAGTCTCTGAAGTGAATGGGTCACCTGGCTGAGCGTCAGTCTTTTACTACCATTTGTTCAGATATTGATTTGCAGATTTTTATCAGGTCTCACCACTACGTCATTTCCGAAATGTTTGGGTTCTTCACTTTGTAAGTTAGAGGAAGAAATTTGATACGTTTAAAGGGATCATCAATTTGCATTAATTCAATGAATGAGTCTGGTTCTGTTGGAGGTTTCTTCCTGTTAAAAGGGAGTTTTTCCTTTCCACTGTTGCTACAAGCATACTTGGTGTGAGGCATTGCTTTCAATGAGTTGATGCAATCAGCTGGTTTTCCTTAGATAGAAATCTGAGAGAATCTGTTTGACTATATGATCTGGTTGAATTGTCTCGGTAATGTGCCTTGAGATGACATGTGTTGTAAATTGGCACCATATAAATAAACTGAATTGAAATAAATTGAATGTTTGGCAACTTTACTTATTGCTAACAAAGATGATGCACCAAGTGGAAAAGCACAGCAGGAAAAACAAAATGATATTTATGAGTTGTTGAAAAGAAAAAAGACAACAAAAAATGACATTTGTTTAATAATTTGTATTAAAAAGATATGAAATATTGTAAGAACAAATAGAAAAGGGGTGAAATGTTATTTATTTCAAAAGCCAAAGAGTAACTGTCTATAAAGGCATCTTAGCAGTTCCTTTTATGGACTAACAGATTATACCACAGTTTGGGGGCTGCAACAGCAAAGGTATGATCATCTCTGATTTTCTTACTGGTTCTCAGAATATCTATGAGCAACAAATTGTTTCATTTTAGTGGTCTTTAGGGAGATGTTTTAGAAGATGCTTTAAATTTGACAAGGCAGAAGCTTAAGAACCCTTAAAAATCAGAGGCAAAATCTTAAAAACAATCCTGTAAGCAACAGGAAGCCAGTGGAGTTAATCCAGACCTGGAGTTTAAAATCCCATTAACTGCTTCCTGTAAAAATTTAGTATGAGTTCAAGCAATTACTAAAAATTACAATAATCTAGAATAAACGATGATGTAAAAACATGGTTCGACCCTCAAAATCCTGAGGAACAAAAATTATGTTTTACAATTTGCAGGAAGTACAGTAATAGCTATTAAAAGGTGATCTTAGAAAATTAGCTGATATGCTTTATTGATTAAAAGGCCCTGTTAAAGATTTGAAGATTGCCAAGATTTCTAACAGAAAAGCCTCCAGAAAAGTGAAAACACCTCCAAAAAATAACACAATCTCTGTTTCATTATTTTCTTCCAATAGTTGTTTGTTTTTTGAATTGACCATAATGTTTTTCTGTATTAAACATCACTTCTCTAACAGGAGGTTATGCCCACACATCTGTTAACACATCAACAAAGAAACTTTTAAAATTTCAAGATTTTATTTAAGTTGTGTTCCTCACTGAAAGCCTTCAAATGCAGCCATATGTGAGGATTCACACCCACTTTCCTCCTGCCTTATAATCATCATATCAGAATGCGTGTATCTATATTCAGCCAATCTATACTTAGCGTTTAATCACCCATTTATTAGTGATTGACTTCCTTCCAGCAGGCAGCAGCAGTAGATAATGTACCATAATGAGTTATAAGCACCTGCCAACCTGCTGAAAACACGATTTAAAACCATCTGCAAAGCAAAGTTAAATAAAATGGGACAGAACAGGAATGATTTACATGTGAAAGTATTTGAAAAGTAACACGAAGCATAAAAAAAAGTGTAACATACGATCCAGCGAACTAAGACCAAGGGAAAAAAAGTGTTTCAAGTGATTGAAAAGTGATCAAGTGATTTATCATTGATAATATATACATAATAAATACCCAAATCCCTTTGATGTTAGAAAAGTAGGTAAAAATGAAAAAAGAAAAAAAACCACTGACCTCTCTGCAGGTGTTGCGCCTCGGTTTCCTGCAGCATGGCCGCCAACTCCTTCTCCCGCTCCTGCGCTGAGATGGTCACAGACGCCATTTCCTCCACATGTGCCCGCGCCGCACTCTCTCTGTCCTGTCTGACCAAAAGACAATAAGAATGTTAATGCTGGTATTGCTTTAGTTCTATAAAGGTGCAATAAATTCTCTTTTTATAATGCGCCCTCCTCCACATTACATGACAAAAGGGTGAAAATGAAAGAAAAGAACAATCATGGATGCATAAAATAGATGAATTCTCTGGTTATTATACTAAAGTAAATAAAGAAATAATCTCTATACATATCAGAATGTAAAACCTCAGATTTTTTACATGTTACAGTCACACTCAACACATGTGATTTTGTATTAAACGCCCACTGGAAGCATGGATGTATATCTTCAGCAGTGACTCACAGGCTGCGTAGAGCTAATGGGGAGATGGATGGAGCTACATACTGTGCAATCCTGGAAGCAAAACCTGTCAGAAGCTGCAAGATGTGTGAGGCTAGAGCAGAGGTTCAGCCTCCAGGATTCAGCCAGAGATGCAACAGAAAGACTCAAATCAAAGCATCATCTGTAAGAATCGACCAGGAAAAGTTTAGAGCTAAATAAAAATTGAGAATTGGTGGTGACATTTAAAGATGTCCCAAAAGGTAATTTAACTAAAGTTCGGCCATTTTTGCAAAGAAGTATAAATCGCATTCTCTAGGTGGAATACTGTAAAGCACTCAAAGCTGTAATTTCAGTAAACCTTGGCTGTACTCCGACTCATTTAGGCTGAATTTAAATGGGATTTATAGTATTTATTGAAGTATGAGTGACCCTTAAAGGAAAGTGGTTGGATGAAATGATATTTTATGATCAGAATAAAGAGTTTGCAGAAACTTTTTTTATTTTAACAAACAGCAAATCCTTTTATTCTGTGCCAACATTTAGCACTACTGGATGTCACTGTATGATAAAAAGAGGTTTGGAGGCAGGTATCATTAAATTTTAAAATAAAACTAAAGATGGCAGCGCGTCCAACAGTCACCTACATTTAAAGCGGTTGTCCGGAGCGCTCTGCAAATATGTCTGCAATGAGCTGCAGGAAAAGATGAGGAGGGATCAGAGATGTAGAAGTCATTTTTTTAGATTTAAAACGGAACTTATAATGCTAAATGCAATGACAGCATCATAAGTTCCTAACTTATCTGAGCCTGGCCTCAGGATACAGAGTGGCCTGAACTGCAGACATTTTTGGTTTCATTCAAATCCTTTTAATCACCAGAAGCGAGCAGGTAAGATCCACAGGAAGGCAGCGTCGGCTTTGCATTCTGTTCCTGCTTGAATCAAACTTTATAGTTCAACTAAGTCCAAACGCATTGAGACAACAGAGGGACAGACAAAGAAAGAGAGAGGAGAAAAACTACAAAGACAGGAGGAGAAAAAAAACACAAATAAAAAAAAATCCGAACAAATAAACAGAACTCTTCCTGAAGTCCAAAGGCGCTAATGATGAGAGAATTCTCCAGTTTAAGTGAAAACTTTTCTCCCCTACAGCGCTTGGCCTGCATCTCTAAAGTGACCGCGTCTGTCTGTTCCTTGGTGTGTGTGTGTGTTCTCCTGCTGTCCTGCTGTCTGGGGTGTGAAAGCGGGTGGCGGGTGTGCAGGGGACACAAGGAGACTGTGTGTGTCTGTACGCGTATGAGTGTGAGTGGATGAACCCCTGCTGGGCTTGAACAGCAGCCTGAGCCACCAAAGCGCACACCAGGGCTCAGCGGGAGACGGCGGGCAGGCATTGCCAGCCATTTGGTCCTGCAAGAGGTTCCAGGGGGCCGTGTATTTGTCTATGTATGTGTGTACGAGTTTGTGTGTGTGAGATCAGGAACAGGGGGGTGGAGGGGGAGCTCACACCAGACCTGTTTACCCACCAATTAGCATCAGACAGATCGCCAGAAAGTTCCAGCAGTCAGCTATAGAGTGGTGGTGATGAAGAGGAGGGTGACAAAAACTAAAGATAGGGAAGCAAAAAAGACAGAGACAAACATTTGGCACCTGGTTGCTCATGCTCATCTCCATTACCTTCTGAGGTAAAGAGTACAAACACAATGAACGGATCAAAAAGGTCTTCATTTTTAGGATTGAGTAGGATGTAGGGGTGGGAGGGGGGGTTGGATCCCATTTGAACTCAACTTAAAATCAAACTAAAGTTATCAAATCAAACTAATGTGGGTTATGCGCCCACGCCATTCTGTTTACCCAATTAAATGTAAGCCTAAAATGGCTGCTGACGACCACTACCAAACTGAAGCATAAAAAAAGCATGGAGCAAAGGAGAGATGTCGGTAGGAAGCCAACCTGGAGCAGGTGTTTAGGGCTCCGGCTTGAGCAGAGGCGGAATATGGAGGGTTGGAGCTGTTTACATCTCCTTGGGCAATAATCTGCCAGCCAGTTAATTGGTGAATGGGCTCTGGGACGCTGCCTGTGGCAGGAACTTGTTTGGGCCTATGAGGCAATAGAATGAATGTTCAGTCAGCAGATAGCTGGGCCTGTTTGTATATGCATGGCCCGATGCACTGCAGGACAGCTTGATAAGTGTGGCGAGAGCTGCATGGGCCAGAGGCCTAAGGTAGGCTGGAATGGCTCTGGGGCTGCAGCCAGGTACAGTGGCTGCTGGGTAAGTGGGAGGTGGCAGAGGCGGCGGCTGGCCGGCAAGCTGGCTGGAGTGATGAGGAAGAAAAAGGGAGCCCAGTCCGCACAGCCTGCTTAAGTGGGCACTATTCAAGCTGTTGCCCATTAGATGTGGGGAGCCAGGGCCTGACCAAGCGCAGAGTTTGCTGCACCCCATGGTGAAGCCGGCATCTCACGCCAGAAGCACCAAATGCCTCGGTTTATCAAAGGACGAGCACAAATTAAACTCAGACGGTGAATTTGGAGGAACCAGAAGAAAGTTGCTGATGCCAGGCACTTTGACCTCTGTTCAGACTCTATTACAAACATTCAGGTGAAAATGCACATCAATATTCAGGCATTAGGTAACCAAGCATATGTTTTGCATTTGCTATAAACCTGTAAAACATTCTGCATATTTAAGTGTAAAACATTAACTGTCAGCATGTTACACAAATCACAAAACATCAGCATCTTTTTCACCGAAAGGTCCTGAGATTTAAATCATCACTTGAAGCATCTGATTCTGCAGCAAAGTAAGCTTCATTTCGACCTCCTCTTTCCAGCTCTACATTAGAATCCACATGAGAACAGGACTAGAGCACGCCACTGTAAATACATCCCCTTTAAAGTACAGTTTGTAATCTTTATTATTTTTTGAAGAGGAATAAAACAGAATATTTCGATGCTTTGGAAGCTAAACTTGAAGCAAATAAAGACAATCAGTCTGGTTTAAATAGAAAATTTAAGAGATTTGAGAGAAAAATACTGAACACACACCTCGTCTTTTGACTCTTTAATATGGGAACCAAAGCAATAAATGAATTGGGGAAAAAAAGTTATCTTATAGAAAATAAAAAATTGAATGTCATTCAAATATAAGTCATTGCATAAAATGAAATTAGAAGTTCTATTTTTTAGATATTTAATCTGGAATAATCTATCATCTACCTCTACTTGACGGGAAACCTGCCAAGACAAAGAGAAGATTGGCCTACTAATAGATGATGGTAGCTCTGGAGGAGCACTCAAACTAAACTATTAATAATTTATTCTTTATGTTACGCCAGCCTTCGTAACATGTAGGCGAATCCCATTCCCCCAGACATCCGCGGTTATATTTTTTATATTTATATCTTTTAAAAACAAAGCGGAGTGTGTATGACGTCATCCGCATGCCGGACTGGAGCCCAGGCAGCCTGGGCCACAGGTGGCTACGCTCTTCCCCTTCTATTCATTCTGGGAGCTAATCTGAATCGTTCAATTCCATTTTGAGAGTGAGATCATCTGTGGTAGCAGCACTAGACATCTTCCAGGCATGGGTGAAACTAGAAGCAGTTCAGCAGACAGGATGAATGAACGGTAGCCGGCGCGCGCGGACGTCATACACACTCCTCTTTGTTTTAAAAAATATATAAATATAAAAAATATAACCGCGGATGTCTGGGGGACAGTGATTCGCCTACATGTTATGAATGCTGGCGTACCATAAATGATAAATTATGAACAGTTTAGTTTGTGCCTTCAAGTCGTTGCCCATAGATAGACGTTACCTGGATATAACCTAACGGAATATCTTCCGAACGGCTCCAAATGACACAAAACTACTATGGGTGAGTAGAACATGATGTAATAACGTAAAATCGAGGGGTGCCAATGTGAAAAAAACGGTGTTCCCCTTTAAGGCACTGGTAACTAAAGATGACCGAGGTTTTTCCTAAGCTGTGGATAAGGACTTTCTTCTTAAATTCAAGATGGCTGTCAAGTTATTCTGAAGTTATTCCAAAGATTTCCGACAAACAACTCAGTCAAGAGGACCAATGGCAATAATGAGGTAGTCAGTAAATCAGATTTACCAACAAGAATCACATTAGCCTTGTTTTTATTTAGACACTGAAAATTTAGCTTTGTCCATCTTTTTACATCTCTTAACTATTTTAGCAGATCGGCTGTGCCATTAGCTTAGAGCGAGAGGTAGAGCTGGATGTCATCTGCAAGACACTTTAATGACAGTTCATATCTTTGAAAGTCAGACCAAGGGGAAGCAAACACAAAGAGAAGTGATCCAAACATTGTGCCTTAGGGTACAACAAGATACAGTGGAGCAACAGAGGAAACAAACCTGGCTTAAATGGATAGAAATGCAGATAAAACCTGAACAGCAGCAAAGATTCACAACTACGTTCAACATCGTATCCAGTACATTACAATCTTTTTAAAATAAATTGAAAATTTGTGGCTGGTAGAAAAATTTTAAAATTGAAAAAAGTCTGGGTACTTTTCCAAAGCACTTATGGATCTCTGTGTTGTAATTTTAAATACACTTCAAGATAGCTTAAAGCTTCAATATTTCTGAAGTCAAAATTCTGACATTTTTCAGTAGACCTTTTTTAATGACCCTAATCCTCTTCCATGTAGTGTAATATTGAGCAAAAATGCTGATTCA